AGTTATTCTTATAAACTTATTCTTCTTCATGAAAACGCTCGGACTAAAGTCATAAAAAAATATTTGGAAACGCTCAAATGAGATGTTTTACCGAACCTGCCACATTCTCCGGACATTGCTCCTTCTGATTACTGGTTGTTTCGAAGGATGCAGCAAGTCATCGGTTCACTTCTTTCGTAGAAACCGAAAATTGGCTCCAAAATTGGATCGCCTCCAAAGACGAGTTTTTTCGAGGTAGAATTTGAAAATTGCCTGAGAGATGGGGAAAAGTAGTAGGCAGTGATGGACAATACTTTAATTGATCTGTTCATTTTGTTTTGAAATAAATGCACAAAAAACGAACCGAACTAATTTGTACTCCTTGGGAGTACAAATTAGTTCGGTCCGTTTTTTTGTGTTGAAAAATGCATTTATTTCAAAACAAAATGAATAAACAGATCAATTAAAGTATTGTCCATCGCAGCCTATTTTTTCCCATCTCTCAGGCAATTTTCGAATTCCATCTCGAAAAAATGACTCGTCTATGGAAGCGATTTAATTTTGGAGCCAATTTTCAATTTCTGCTAAACCGGTGACTTGCCAAATCGTGCTGCATCTTTCGGAACAACCAATAATCAAAAGGAGCAATATCCGGCGGGTGCGGTAAAACATCCTATTTGAGCGTTTCCAAATATTTTTTTACGACTTTAGCGACATGAGGCCGAGCGTTGTCATAAAGAAGAATAACTTTATCATGTCTGCTCGTATTCCAGCCGTTTTTCTCGCAATGCACGGCTCAAACAAATCAATTATAGCCGACACCGATCGCTCGTAATAGAATCGTCAGGTTTCAGCAACTTATAGTAAACAAGATTTTTGATTCCAGATACAGAACATGATCTTCGAACCATGAATGTTCGGCCGTGATATTGATGAGATGGCGACGACTGATCGGGCTTAGCATAATATTTTTTCTTTTTGGGATTGTCGTAGAATATCCACTTCTCATCTCCAGTCACAATCCGATGCAAAACACCTTTTCTCTGTTGTCTTTGAATCAGCTGTTCGCAAGTGAAAAATCGCCTTTCAATGTCTCTTGGTTTCAGTTCATAAGGCACCTAATTTCTTTGTTTTTGAATCCATAGCTCTCAATCATACAGAAACGGCTTGTTGAGTTACCCTCTCCAATGATTCTGCAAGCTCTTCTTGCGTTTGACTCTGATCTTTTTCAAGTAATGCCTCTAATTCTTTGTCTTCGAATTTTTTTGGCTGTCCAGAGCGAGGCTTGTCTTCAATGCTGAAATTTCCATCCTTGAAACGTCGAAACCATTCCCTATATGATTTATCAGTTGGAGCAGTGTCATCATAAATTTCGACAAGCATTCGATGGGCTTCAGTCGCACTTTTCTTCCAATTAAAGCAGAAAACCTCCCGCAAATGCTGCTTGGTTAACACAAAATTCGACATTTCAAACACAGTAAAAGTCGAGGTTTTTGTATGAAACTCAAAGCGATATAAACTGAATATTATTTGCAGATGTTTAACCTCTCTGAAACCAAAATTAGCTGTCACTATGAACCATTCACAACAGCTGATGCCATTTTTAGGGAAACGGACCGAACTAATTTAATTCCCAATATTTAATTTCATTAATACGCAGTATACAAAATATCTTATATCTGCGGGCAAGTATACATTGGAGAAACCGAGAAAATAGTCAATTTACGGATAAAAGAACACTAACGTGATGTCTAAAACACGCCACGCAGTTGGCATTATCAGAACACAACATTGAAGAACGTAAAATACTGTTTCACAAAATAGCCAACATTACATCATACTTTCCAAGAAAGTATAGAAAAGCCATACAGAAACACTCTAACAATCTAAATAGAGATAATGGCTACAACATAAATAAAATATGGAAGACCATTCTCCCGGTTATGGAAGATCGACCAATTTTCCCCATCTTCTCTCCCCCCCTCACCGTTCCAAACAGTGTAATATAAAAGGAATGGCTCGAAGGAACAAGGCTGCTTTTCACCTTGATAAAGTAAGATTCACGAAACGATGGCATTCCAAGAATGGATCTGGACGCGGAGAAAACTCGCGAAACGCATAACCTTTATATAAATTAATATTTCTAATAATAATTGTATTTTAAATTTATATTATTTTTAATTTTTTAAATCTAGCTTATTTAGCAATTTTCTTTCATTTTCAAGATGTAGCTGTTATTTAGTTATTTTTGAAGTGTTGTCTAGCTTTTTTTTTTTAAATGTTGGCAACATTGAGAAAGAGGGGAAACTGGCAGACTCCCCGTTTGCTTACCGGCCCATCGACCTGCTGGACGATATTGGGAAGCTCTTTGAAAGAATCATAGCTACCCGTATCGTTCAGAACTTTAAGAGGTCCTAATTTTCACCAAGAGATCAGTTCAGCTTCCGGGAGGGATCCGGGACGCGGATCCACTGTAGACTCTCCATTTCTTGGGAGATGGTCGAGAGGACTGCCGATGGTTTACCCGACTTAAAAAAGTCTTTTAGGATTACTTTCGGGACAAAGGAATAGAATTTATCAATTGATTAGGACAGTTAGGGGTAAAAGTATTGTCTTACTGAGTTCCGCAATGTCTTACCCGGTTCCTTGGACTACTTCTGGAATCTTATATACGAGTGTTGTTCTCTGCACTCTCCTCCTCGGCGACTGCGACGGTCTGCTTCGCGAATAATATCTTGGTTGTGGTCGGCGGGGAAACATCAGAGAAAGTCCACGCTAAGGCAGTCGTGGAGGTAGTGCGGAGAATTCATGAGATAAAGCTGAATATGGTTCGTCTCAAAACGGAAGCTGTGTTCTTCTACGGTAAGGTGTTTCCAAGAAGCCGCCGCAAACCTCTCTGCCAGTGTCGAGGTGGGCAGCCAGATGAAGTCCGTGACTCACCTTGGATGAACTCTGGAGATACTTTGGAGATACTTACCAGAGACACTTTGAACTTTTGAGCTCTGTTTTACACACCTACCGACAGTTGTCGGTGTCGTTGCGCAGATATTTCATATAGAAAAAGCTGCGCAACGACACCGACAATAGTAGGTGTGTAAAACAGTTACAGAATTGTACCCCTGGTCTCTAGAGTGGGCAATAGTACTCGATCGCCTTTTGCCCAATCTCAATGATTCGAATCATTGAACTCAGTCTAAGCGCTAAGTTTAAATACCTGTACACGAAAACAGGTGATGTCCTTTAATATGGGCCTAGGAGGTAACCATCAAGTGCCTCAAGTATCCAGTGCAGATTAGGATCGCTGCACAGATATCCTGATGTATCGGCGTGTCAAGAAAACGAGATCCAAAGCACCGAGAGACGGCTCACCGGTAGAGCCATGGACATAATGAGAGCATAAGAACAGGGGAAATAGTTCAGGAATGGGAGAGGCAACACCTAAAACCCGGATTCCCTTGACTGCATCATGGCCCTCCAGTCCTGATTCAAGATGTGGCAGTCAAGGGCGGACTGTCGTATTATTTGGGTGCAGGTATTCTCCGGGCATGGTTGTTTTAGAGAGTTCCAGCATGAAATAGAGAAGGAGATGATACGCAGTTATCACTGTGATGTAGTGGTGAACACGGCGCTCTTCCTTAGCGGCATGCACTGTCTGGGAGACAGCGTCGTGCTCTAAAGGACACCTTGGATGTCGGTGACTTGTCCTTCCCGATCGTTGACAAAGTGGGAGGGAAGGATGAATATTAAAAGGTGGTCTTCGATTTCTATTCCGTGGTCATGAGGCAGAAGGAAGAGACGAAGAGGAAGTGAGGAGAGATTCTTGTCGATACCTTTCAACATTCAGCGGGAAGACCCTCGTCTAACATTTTTTGAATAAAAAATTCTTATTAGTTGATACATTATTGACTTTATTTATTTAAATGTTAGATTCATTATTCCCTCACTCTCCATAATAATACAAATTTGCGTTATTTTAATTCAATAATAAATTACTTTTTGTTAGAGTATAATTAAAAGCGATTTTAAAACGATGCAAATAAGAATTTATTAATTTCTTACACACACACACACACACACACACACACACACACACACACACACACACACACACACACACACACACACACACACGCACACAGACACAAACACACACAGAGTGTATTAATTTTTCTTTAAGGTAACATCATTATTATGATTCTTTCTCTTTTCCGAACGAATGGCACTCATTTTAGTTAATAGGAGGTTGAATAATAACTTTGATCGTTACTTTTTCAAAATTAATTAGACATCTGGGTTCCTTTGTTAAGCGAAACGCTACTGTATATCTTGAATAGTGCAATTTCAAACATCTTTTAATATTTTGAAATATATGTTTACTAGATAAAATGCAGTGGAAATAAGTGATAGTTACAGAGAATATATAACCATATAAAATTAATGTTTTTTTTTATATATGTATATCTTTTCATATGCATTATGAATAAAATAGTTTAAAAATAATTAGAAATTCAGAACAAGGTTAATGAGAATCTAACACTGATGTAAGAGCGAAGAGTTAGGAGATGCAAATAATACTCAAGTGTTGGCAGTTGTCTTCATTTATTGTATGGAATGTTTCGGCTCACTTTGGAGTCATCTTCAGCGAAAAAGTAGAATATAATACTCGTTGAGTAAATATATATACCGCAGATTGGCAGAAATGCAATAATCAATACTCAACGGGAACACAAAATTCAACGGGAAAACAAAGAAGTTCACACATATTGATTCACAATTTTCATGAGATACAATCTTGAATTAATCGTGTCAGTTCACCTTGACGTGTCATTTGAAATCTTACATCAACGTTAGACTCTCATTAATCTTGTTTTGAATTTCTAATTATTGTTTTTAAGATTGAGAGTCTTTATTTATATATTTATGTAATTGTTTATAGTTTATAAACTTCATAAAAACAAAAATCATAAAATACTCTTAATTAATAAAAGCGTTATATGATTATTTTATTATACGTATTTATTTTACTTGCTTGCTGAGGAATCCGTAGTACAATGAATTTTTGAACTAAATGTCTTTATCTTGAAGCCGCCTCCATAAAATTTTTTTGTACCTACCAAAATATCTGGAAGCATAGTTTTGTAAGTAGACTTCAAAGTCATTTCTTTAATTTTTTGGAGTTTCCTTTTTTGTGTATGAAATATTTTCATCAACTCGCACATCTCATTGGTCATTATTGTCATGCCATCTTTATATTCGCCTACTTGCGACTCATACATATTCAGCTCCGCGATGAGACACTGTAAAAAGAATAAATTTAATTGTGACAATAGCCTTAAGAGTATATTAAAATCATCTTTATCGATTCAATAGGACTGCACACGTACAATACATATGGGTCATATAGTACATAGGAGAGACCGAGGCTTATTGACATAAGAGGCAAATTGGCATTTCGTTTATGTATTTATGATAAAGGAAACAATGAAAAAGTTACTGCAAAATGTTTCTTTTTTTAACTACTAAATACTTTTCCCTTTTATGTAAATCAAACAAGATTTTACAATAGAAAATCAATAAAAAAGATATACAGTAGAAGATCAATTTCAATAAAAAAAGAAAAAAATCCGATTTAAGCAGGGCAAGTAACTTTTTGAGCACTTTAAAATTTCGTAATCTCTAATAATTTAATAACGAAAGCATTATTTTTCTGTAAAAAAAAAATGAATACCGGTACTTAATATTGTAATCAATATTGTTTTCTTTATTCTTATTTAATTGATAGAAAATATAAAGATCTCAAAAAAGTATTATGTTTTCTTGGAGCCCTTGAGAGAGTCACTTAAAGAAAACTTATTTCATTCCCAGATAGCCAAATAAGGGCAATGTTGCCATTTTGCTGTCATTTATTCTGCATTCAATTTCATCAAATTAAAGCCAAGGTGTTTCTACTGTCTGTTGTTCTGATGTCACGTAAAAGTCACGTAAAGACTTGACTTTTTTTCCTTAGAATTTAGCAAACTGCTGGCAAGTTGTCATCATGAGCGAGCCGTCAGTTTGCTATCAACGTGACGAGTTTATTATTTCTCAATGTATACTCTTACATTTCGTAAACTCATGAAATCTATTTACCCTTCTGATACTAACTCAGTTCATTAGATTCCAATGACAGCAAATTGTCAATAAGTTGAAAACAATACATGCAGTACATCAATTTGTTCCATATCCTAAATCTCACTTGGTTATCTGGTTAGAACATAATTGAAAAATCTTTCAATATTATGTCTTTTATTTCTGTAGTGTAGTTTCTTAAATTTGAGAAATATAACTCGTTATGTCCCTCTGATGGCGTGCTGTGTATTACTCAATGACATTCCATAAATCATCAAAATATCAAATTTTGCTTGGATTTTTCCGTGAATTTGCCGCCAAATAACGCTATGTAAAGTTTGCTGTCAATTTGCTATACAACAAGCTTGTTACCAATTTGGTGCCAATTTGTTCTCAAATAATACTACGCAAATCTTGCCAATTTGGTGCTAAATTGCGACATCAAATTTTGTTTCATATTTACTTGCAAATTGCCGACACTATTTGATATATCAAATCTTGCTGCCAATTTGTATTTTTTTTACTAACAAGATTTACAATAAAATTTTACAAGATCAGTTTTCGACAAAGGACCTAGCAGTATATGTATGCTGCTCCCGCATTTATCTGGTCGAAATTTTTATCATAAGCTAATAGCGATGCAAGAATGAATTCCGCAAAATATTATGTCTGAAAAAATTTTTTAAAAGAGTTATATGGGTAAATATTAGGTGTACAACTTTCCTTCCGCCGTTTTCCTATAGAGGGCTTTAGCGGTAAGTGATGGTCGAAATAAATAGATCATAGACGTCATACAATAAACTTGGGCATCTGTCAACATAACTCCATAGAAACATTAGTCGATTTGTGTCTGCATCATAAAGTTATTCTCGATTGAAAATGTCAGTTTACGAGCCAAATTCTCGTCATTTGCGAGAGGTTTTAATTTTTTGCTTCAATATGAAGAAATCTGCGGCTGAGGCTCATCGAATGCTCTCAAATACTTATGGTGAAGCCGCTATTAGTGAAAGAATGTATCGTGAGTGGTTTCAAAGCTTCAAGAACGGTGATTTTGATGTCGAAGACCGGCATAGCGGTGGAAGAGAGAAGGTTTTCGAAGATGCAGAATTGGAGGCATTACTTGAGCAAGACTCGTATCAAAATCAAGAAAAATTGGCACGATCATTGAGAGTGACTCAATAAGCTCATTTAAAAACTCCTCAAAGCCATGGGAATGATTCAGAAGCAAGGAAATTGGCTGCCGTACGAATTGAAGCCGAGAGATGTTGAACGGCGTTTGTTTGCTTGTGAACAGCTGCTTGAAAGGCAAAGACAGAAGGGATTTCTGCATCGCATTGTGACTGGGGACGAAAAATGGGTTCATTACGATAATCCCAAACGCAGAAAATTATGGAGAGTTCCCGGCCATGCTTCCACGTCGACGGCCAAACCGAATATTCACGGCTCCAAGGTGCTCTGTATTTGGTGGGACCAGCTCGGCGTAGTGTATTATGAACTGTTAAAACCGACTGAAACAATCACAGGCGATCGGTATTGAACGCAATTGATGCGTTTGAGACGAGCATTGAAAGACAAACGGCCGCAATACAACGAGAGACACCATAAAGTGATTTTGCAGCATGACAATGCTCGACTCCATGTTGCGAAAGTGGTCAAGACATACTTGGAAACGGTTGAAATGGGAACCCCACCCGCCGTATTCTCCAGATGTTGCTCTCTCTGACTATCACTTGTTTCGATCAATGGCACACGGCCTGGCTGACCAGCATTTCCGGTCTTATGAAGAAGTAAAAAATTGGATCGATTCGTGGATAACCTCAAAAGGTGACCAGTTTTTTCGACGCGAGATTCGTACGCTACCCGAAAGAAAGTAGTGGCCAGCGATGGACAATACTTTGAATCATAAATGTATAACCAGTTTTTTATAATAAAGCCTCGAATTTCGGAAAAAAAACGGCGGAAGCAAAATTGTACACCTAATAATTTTAAATTATTCTAAATAAGAAAAAAAAGGGATAAATTTTCAAAGAAGACTAGGAATGAGAGATAAACAAGAATAAACGGGAGTGTACAAATTCATTTTATGATATCCTGTCTGTTGCGCATTACAAAAATTATTGGAAAATGGAGTTAGTTTTTGACAAAAAAATAAATTTTTTGTTAATTACACGATAAAGAAAAAGAATTTAATTTAGAAACGGGTTTAGCAAATAAGAAATTATCGTTATTCTAAAAATATTTATAAAAAAAGAAAAATTAAGAACCTTAATTTTTAACTAAACAAACTTAGGAAGAGGAGGTAAAATCGCCTTTGTGCATATTTTCAAATGAATAAATAGTGTGAAGGTTGGAAATTTAACTCTAGTTTTGCTTCTACCTCTCATCGTATCAAGTTATTTTGATTTTCGGAGATCATATTTTCTGTAAATATTGTTGCAAATACGGAAAAGGCATTTCTCGATTTATTCTTAAAATTTTTTATAGTCGCTTGCAATAAAAAATCTTTAATAAAAAATTTATTGCAAGTGACTATTGAAATTATCAGACAATAGTGAAAACAATTATAAAATTTTTAAAAAATTTACGCGAGAATGCTCCAGTACGCTACTGTGTGTTTTGCAACAACTAGGACACTGTGATGTGTGAAAAACTTTCGCACACTTCTATATGACGCGAATTATCTCTCTTTTAATTATGAGGATGACGCCGATGGGCATATTAACGATTTTCATCGGAGGATCATCAGTAATATAGGAGTATCGGAGTATCGGAGGATCATCAGTAATATAGGAGTAGGAGCAGGCTAAGCCAAAATAAAATTATGCATTTAAAAAGATTTATTATTATTAATTAAATTATATTTATTTTATAGCGTTAAATCATCAAGTGGCGCTAATCCTGCAATACGTGCGATACGGGCCTCTGAGTCTATGGATATACAACGACGCCACGCGGAGGATGAAGACCAGATTGTTGCTGGCTGTAGAAAAATAAAAATATTGATCCAATGATGGAAATTTTTTTTATTAAAATATTTTTTATTTTTTTCTAGGAAGAGCGCAAATCAAACTGCCGAATAATGCGACGCTTCCCCCGCCGCCTAATATAACAACACGTCCCCTCTCATCGAAATAGGTAAGACGATTTTAAAAAATATTTCATTATAAAATATATCGTTCATATAATATTACTCTAATAAGAAGAAAAATAAAAACATTTTTGTTTTAGATGCTGATGATGATGATGATGATGATGATGATGTTGACGATAATAACATTGGAGATTCGCAGCTATCAAGGAATTCATCAATAGTTATTATTTCTATCGTCACATAAGTTTAAAAAAATTAGCGAAAAAATTAGCGAAAAAATTAGCGAAATATAAGGTTAGTTCTAAAAAAAAATAGCAGTAAAAATTACTTTCTAGAACGCAAAAATGAAGAAAAAGAAGAAATAATGTCCGAAGAAGAAGAAGAAGAAGAAGAAGAGGAAGAAGAAGAAATCGAAAATAAATTGAATATTATCGGCTACGAGAACAATGAAGCTCGTGATCAGCAAAGATAAGGCAAATGATGATGTTGCCGACAAGGAAATCGATGATCAACGAAATTGCGAAGACTCAGGATGTGAAGAAGTCATAGAAGAAAAGGGAGACAATTACGTTGAAAATAATAATATTTTACCATTTACTTTTAATCCGTTGTTTCGGGAAATTTTTCTTAAACGTACATTTTTTTCTATTAAAAGTTTCCTATTTATCGGTTTTACCGCTGTCGTCAGAATATTAGCAAGGCTTCTCGAACAAAATATTGTAGCTCACGATCACACAATATGAAGTAGCTAAAAGTTAGGGGAGACTGTGGCTAAAAGTAACAGGGGTAAATAATAACATCTAATAAAAAAAGACGTTATGACCAAAATAACGTGTAAACAAGATCTGAAATTTTAGATGGAGAAAGAAATCTATGTGACATCTATCGTATAATAACAATTAGAAGTGCACGAATCATCGAGTATGTGCAAAAGATTATTGAAAATTATACGTAAGTAAACTTTACAATTTGTTGTAATTTTAGTCTCAATTTTTACATATTTACCTTTGAGTAATAAATAATATATCTATATATATACGTTAAGATTCCTTGTTACGTATAACCTCAAAGTTTTTAACCTTACTTTCCGTATATGCT